TCTGCATCCTTCAAATAAAACTTGCAGTTGATATAATGCCTCATTAACTAATTGAGATGCCTCATAGCGCTTCGCAGAATATACTGTAAAATGAATTGACTATATTTTATGGGCGAAACACAGCAGCCAATTGTACACAGTAGTGTCCCACAAACAGTCATGGATTGAGTTTTTTTTTGAGGGATTTATCCCAGTAAAGCGATCTGCCAATCGACAAATAACCGGGTTCCTACAACAACAAAATTACATTTATAGAGTGCCTCTCACTTCGGGAGGACATCCCAAAGCGCTGAATTGGTAAACAGTAAATTGGTAAACTACTTACTATTTGCTAAACAGAGACGTGTGGAGTAAGGAAACTTAAAGCTTGAGTTTTAACCGCACCTGGGAATCAAACCCAGATCTTCTCATTTGTAAGGTGTGTGTGAGGTAAATTGGTTAACAACCCACACCTCTGCCACATACCAGAGCATAAACACTGCTCCAACAGACAAACAGAGAAAGCCTCATTGTGGCTGTGTCTTGAGAGACAACAGCAATTCTGGGTTTACTACAGACCATTGCTACTGAGGTCTGGGCAGCTGGTGACAGTGCATTGACATGAGCACCACTAGACATGAGCATTTAAGTAACCAGCAGATGTCAAATTGGACACCAAGGTGGCAAGAAATTAGTTAATGGGTGAGATATTTTGTCACTTTAATATCACAGACAATGAAGTTCATTTTAGCTTTATATGATTCAGCTGTGGCTAACCAGTAAATTAAAGGCACATTATTATGAGCGACAGACAGGGACTTCTTATGCTAATTACTAGTCAATTTATGCCACGTCATCACCGCTGCATTGAGAAAAGGCTCAATAGATCAGGCGCTTTGAGTAGCGAGTTGAACAGTGCACACATTATTTGGCAAAATCCAAGTGTACTATTTTAAAACGGGCAGAACAATGAAATATTCTTTTGCATTTTGAACTTCACAAAAATTAGTCAGGCCAATTGGGTGAAGCTTCTGTCAACTGGAGACCAGCTTTGCCACAAGGATGGGTTCATGGATCAATTGAGGTAGTTTCACTGAGTTCAGCGAAACATGGGCAGTAGCTTGCTTAAGGGAATAAAGATAACCATAGTAGGTGTGGCGTTTAAGTGTGTATGTGGGGGGGGGGGGCAAGAAAGAAAATAAAGGAATAAATGAGAGATCAGATTTTTTGGATGTTGCCCTAAATCTTGGTTACGCCGAGGATGTATGGGGAGAATTATACATCCAGGCTTCCCTCCACCTCACTCCCTCCATAAAAACCCACTAAAGCCCATCTTTTCACTTTCTGGGGGTAATAACCCCCCCTACAAAAATATGGTCACTCATTCCATGGCTGTTTGTGGGACACTACTGTGCACGATTGTCTACCGCATTTCACCCATAAAATACACAGTTAATCCACTTTACAATATATCCTGTGAAGCGCTTGGATACGTCTCAACAATATGATAAGGCGCTATGTCAAGAATTATTATATATTTCTGACTATGCTTTGAGTCACCTTCCTTCCCCCTCTCCCCTCTCTCTCGTAAGCTTCCGCTCAGTTGCTGTTTAAAGAATTTGAGACATCCTCCTCACGGGGAAGGCGCAAATGTAATTGGTTTGTAAGTACAACATCCAGTACATGTTGTGTAAAATCGCACTCAAGTACTCAATTCCCAAGCAGTGGGCCACAGGTCTTAAAAATCCCAGCTATCGGCAGACACTTGTCTCAACTGGTCAGCTCGGATTGATTCATTGTTAGCACATCAATACATTGCTATTGGTTTTTAAACCACAATGAAAATTTCAACTCACAGCTGTCCACGTGTCAAGATTTTATGCAGAAAGACTTTTCGAATTGACTGCAGATTAAACCAAAAGAAGGAATATAGACCCCAAACCTCTAACAGACACAAAATCACACTCACTTAAATTTATACCCTTATATATAAGGGCTCGGTAGAAGTGATACTTAAAGGACAGACGAGATTGTGTGAGTAAAGAGCACATTTCATGCCTGGACTTTCTAAGAACGATTCACTTGTGCATAGAAACAAAGTGCTGAGGTAATGCTCCGCACAGCTGTGCAAGCACTACCTTCAGCCAATGAACTACACAACATGGGATGTTTTTAAGGCGACACCACTCTCCTGCAAACAGGCACGAAGTAAGAAAAGCAGTTGTTGGTTTTGCCCTGTACAACGTTTACTGTGTAGTACAGGTGATGCATCTGTACATTGTTTGATCAGTTAGGACCATACATTTAATATGACTTATGTAAACAACAAAATTACATTTGTATAGCGCCTTCACGTCAGTAAAGTAGGCGTTATGTCAAACTTACATAGAAAATAAACTCCTGGAACAGGACTTGACCAGATGTATGACTCAGACGATCATACAATTTATACAACTCCGACTTGTGTGAACTTGAATGTATACAGTCTAGTACTGTGCGGTTTCAATACCACTTCCTATACTGTTCAGTGTGAGGTTTCTACACAACTTCCTGCACTGCTGAGATTTCTGTACAACTTCCTATACAATAAACTACAATTTTTTTTGATGTAACATCCCCCACACAGCTTGAACAAATCTTGCTTTTTTTTTTGGGGGGGGGGGCAGGTATTTGCCTGCTTTGAAAATGGGGGGGGGAGGGAGAGAGAAGGAAATTAGACAGCAAGACCAGGACAAGGAGAAATCAATGACTGAAACAAAGTGTTGAGGTAATGCACCTCACTGTAGCTGTTCAAGCACTTCCTTCAGCCAATGAACGGCACAACATGGGATGCTTTTAAGAATAAACCACCCTCCTGGCTAACAAGCACAAGGTGTAAAAAGTAGACTTGTCGGTTTGCCCTGTGCAATACGTACTGTATCGTGCAGCACAAGTTAAGGTGCACATATTAAGCTCCTTCACGTCAGACTCCCCTGAGCTGCTTTTCACCCCGCCCTGATTGTGCAACAAATGACAATCTAAACAAACCACCGCTGTTAACCCAAAAATCACACCATCTGTCTTACTTCACTGTAATTAAATGCTAATTGAACTTGCAGCTTTGGTCACAATTTCTACATCTCCTCAAGTCATATTTACCAACATCAGCTGCTTATGCATAAAAAATGCCAAACGTTGGATGCAGATTCCCACTTGGTGAAATGTTTTATAAAGATAACTGCCTGCCTGCAAACCATTATTCTCCTCCCTTTAAACATTTTTTTTTAAAAAAAACAGATCGTTAAAACACCAGATCACCGATATCCATTTAAAGTCTGAATTCTTAAGCGTGCAGCATTGCTATTTCAACACATCATACCCCTCACAGACCTTGTGATAAGACAGAGATCTACTGGATCACACTGACTGACAGCTTAAGCATCAATGCTAAATTGAAAAAGGAACAGCCAGACAGCTGTGACACATGTGCGGTCCCACCTTGAAATCCCTGGCCGTTTTCAAGGCACTTCAGAAGCAGTGAAAGATCACGTCTCTTCACATTTTAGCAGAGGTCTAAAAACATGCTGACTGACTCGACTGTAAATGGCTTAAGCAGAACCCCTTTTATAAATGTTTTAAACCTATCCATTAGGTCTATAAGTGCCAAGCCTTGGAAAGCACTCAGCTACTTCCTTTGTTAATCAGTGTATGCAAGGACAAAACTTGACTAAAACTCGACACCCTAACGTTTTGCACTTACAGCTTAAGAGCATACAAACCATTTAACCCCTTAAATTCTTACAAGATCCTCTTTTTCCTGCATTCTAGAAGTAAAAGGAGTGGAGCACACTATTTTTTTGCACACACACACACACACACGCAGGCGCGCGCGCGCGCTGAAAGGCCAAGTGATCACTTGACTGGCATCGAACACCCAGCAGCACTTCAAGCAAGTGATCCAATTTTAACAGCAAAGAGATTTCTTCGAAGTTTCCCTCAAAATTCACGAAGCTCTTCAACTTGTGATTCTTTTGTTAGGAGATTGTCCTTCTCACTCCCGCCTCAAGAAAGGTAGAGTGGGCGTGAGGAGGAGAAAGCGAGGGTGCAGGAGATGGGGGTGGGTGGGGGGGGGGAAGGAGAGCGCGTGGAGGGGGTTGAATAAGGATGGGATTGCGAGGGGAGGGCGGGCGGGGGGGAGAGAGGGCGGGCGAGGGGGGGGAGAGGGCGGGCGAGCGGGGGAGGGTGGGCGAGCGGGGGGTGAGAGGGCGGGCGAGGGGGGTGAGGGCGAGGTGGGGGTGAGAGGGCGGGCGATGGGGAGGGGGCGAGTGAGGGGGAGAGTGAGGGGGAGGGGGAGAGTGAGGGGGAGGGTGAGGGGAGAGTGAGGGGGAGGGTGAGGGGAGTGAGGGGAGGGAGAGGGGGAGGGGGAGAGTGAGGGGGAGAGTGAGGGGGAGGGGGAGAGTGAGGGGGAGAGGAGGGGGAGGGGGAGAGTGAGGGGGAGGGGGAGGGGAGGGGAGTGAGGGGGGGGGAGGGGGGGGGAGGGGGAGAGTGAGGGGGGAGGGGGAGAGTGAGGGGGAGAGTGAGGGGAGGGGGAGAGTGAGGGGAGGGGGAGAGTGAGGGGGAGGGGGAGAGAGAGACTGAGGGGAGTGGTGTGGAATGGGGGTGGAGGGGTTGGGGGAGTGGTGACTGAGCCAATTCCTCAGCAATTTAGAAACCAGTTTTTCTCCCTTTCACACCTTTTTTTTAAAAAAAAACAGTTGGAACAATTTTAACCGATCATAACCGCCAAACTCCCCACTCCCCCCCACCCACTCCCTCCTCCTCCACCGGGCGCCGCGGACACCCAGGAAAGGGCAGAGGGCGGGAGGGCGGCGCCGGGGCTGAGGCTCATTCATTCACCGCCCGGTGTCTGCGCTGCCCCCCGGGAGGAGGAGGAGGGGAGGGGGCGGCGGGGTCTGGCGGCGGCGGGACCCCCTCCTCCTCTCCCCCATCACACCCACACTTCACCCCCTCAGGACCAGGCCCGGGGGCCTCCCGCCGCTTACCCGCTTCTCTGCTGGTCGCTCGCTCGCTCACGTTGGCCGCTCCGCTCCGTCTCTCCGCCGCCGCCTCAGCTCAGCCCTCTCTCGCCAACACACTAACACACCGGAAGCGACGGCCGACCGCCCGCCCCGTCCCGCCCACTGGTCGGACCCCACCCCCACCCCCCCCGCGCGGCTGACGGACGGCGCGAGCGACCAATAGCGGCTTCCGAGGGGCGGGGCCCGAGCCCGATGGGCAGCGCGACCGACCAATAGCGGCTTCGGGTGGGCGGGATCGAACCTGATGGACCGCGCGACCGACCAATGGCAGCCTTCGCAGGGCCGGAGGGTGAGGCTGGCGGTGGGGCGGGGGCGTCGGGCAGTCGCCTCGCGCTGTTGGGGCTCGGGCGGCGGCGCCCTCGCAGGTGAAGAAAAAAAAGATGGCGATAAATGAGGGACTCCCGCGAGGCTGGACTCGCGTCCGGGGATTTGTGGTAGTGGTGGTGGTTTGGCAACCAGCAGCTGTTGGGTTGGCAGCGTGGCGCAGGCCGGCGACCAATGGTGTGAGGCGTTCGCCTGATTGACGGGGAACTTGGCCAATCGCACGGCGAGTTTGTGAAACGCCCCCGCCCCGGACGTGATTGACGCGCAGCTCGACGAATCAGAGCCGGAGAGGGACTGCGAGGTGAACCAATCATTAACGGGAGGGGCGGGTCTCTCGGCCACGTTCCCTCCCCTCACATCCCCGCCTACAGGTGGGGACCTGAACTGCAACTGTCCAGGCAATGCTCCAGCCTCACACACCCCAACCAAGTCTGGACCCCCACCAACTTACCCTCATCACCATCACCATCATTACCATCATAATATTCCCTGCAAAAGGTCTTCAGCTGAGACCTGAAAATGGGAAGGGAGGGAGCGACGCGAAGGGAGTGAGGAAGGGAGTTCCAGAGCCTCGGGGCGTAGGGGCTGAAGGCGCGGCCGCCGAGGGTGGAGGGGAGGGCTCGGGGGACGAGGAGGAGCGCTTCCCAGAATATACTGCAGAGTGAATTAACTGTATATTTTGTGTGCAAAATGCACAATCAACTATTGTATATACTATATACACTCCACACACACACACTATATACACACACACACAAATATACTGTAAATACAGAACACAGTCACTACACATTGCTGTAGTGCCGTAAAACACGCTCGCCTCACAAGTGAGAGGACCCAGGTGCGAAGCTTGAATCTAACCGGAGTCTCCGCTTATTATAGGGCGATCGGAAATGGATATACCGTACTTCCTGATTTCTCCACCTCACAGTTTGTCGCCCATCAGAACACATTGGACCAGGTTACCCCAATTAATTGCGGTACACGTGTACAGAGCACCTTATCGGGAGGATAATACAGTACAATCCTTGCATTTAACCTTGATTTATTAGTACCTAGCTATTCTGGAAACGGAAATAGGCAATTCGACCCAGCTTGTCCATCCTGGTGTTTGTACCCCATTTGCTCCACTCTCCATCCACTCCTTACTCCCTCCCATCTTCCTCATGTGGAGTCCTGTAGCTCAGTGGTTAGAGCGCTCACCTCGCAAGCGAGAGACCTGGGTTTGATTCCCGGCAGGGCAAAGCCTTGGGTAAGATTCCTTACTCCACACACCTCTGTTTACCTAGCAGTAAGTAGGAACCCGATTGTTAGTCGATTGGTGGATCGCTTTTCCGGGGGGTAATGATTCATTAAAAAAAATCAGTCACTATATTCACGTCTGTTTATGGGACACTGTTGTGCGCAATTGGCTGCCGTACCCACAAAATATACAGTCAATTCACTTATAGTATATTCTGTGAAGCCCTTTAAGACGTCGAGAAGATGTGATAAGGTACTATATCAAATGTAAGTATGATTAAAAATCACGAGGGGTACAAAGAAAACCCTTGAGCTGATTTGATCTTACCTTTCCAGCTTAACACCCTTTATTATTAGATATAGTGCCTTATTACATCATTAGAGATGTCTCAAAGGATATACTGTAAAGTTATACTGTAAATTGATTGTATTTTGTGGGCAAAACTAATTAAACGCTTCACAGAATTACACAGTAAGATGTAGGGACAGTATTTTGTAGGCAAACACGGCAGCCAATTAGCACACTCAGCCAAACTTGACAGCCTATTTTAAACCAGGTATACATAGCACTAACAACAACAAACATTTATGTTAGGAGGACGTCCCAAGGTGCAGGACAGTCAAGAATGCGAGCTGGGTTTGAGATCAAACGGGTTGGAGGGCAGCGAGGGTAGGGGTAGGAGGGCGACTAAAGACGCGGTCAAAGAGGAGAGTCTTGGGCTGGATCGCCTCTTCAACATGCTTGGGGGGGTGGGGGGGGGGAGGTATTGGGAACATGTTCAAAGTGGCATTATCAACCTGTAAAATTATGCAATTACAGGGATAGGAACTGGAGGAAAGGGCAATGATGAACCAAGCTTTTGTTGTATGTTTAGTGTGCTGAGTTGCCGCAACAACTTTGATGATCGCTGTGGACCAGACTGAAGTGGATTGTTCCAGGAAGAGAAATGCACAAGAAACTCCTTGTTTAGGTTATAACAGCACTTTACGATAGACTGACCTTCACAATTATTCCCAACCCTGCTGCTGTAATCTCCTCCAGCTCCATTTTCCTGTTCATATCTGACTGTTCCTCTGATATCAAGAACCTGCATTTATATAAAAAGCCCCTCACGCCGGGCAGCATCTCGGAGCTCTTAACAGTGGCGGAGGCGGACTCCAAGCCAGCGAGAGAGGAGAGGTGAATGTTAGTACGGTCGAAGAGGAAGGTCTTCAGGTGTGATCTGAAAATGGGGAAGGAGGGGGCATGGCGGAAGGATTGAGGGATAGACTTCCAAAGTTTCGGGGTGTAGGGGCTGAAAACACGACCGCCAATGGTAGAGTATTTGGGGGTCAGTTCATTTGTACTATTTAGGATCAGTTGCTATGTGGATGATCTCATGTCCACTCTCCCAGAGCGAGAGGGAGAGAGAACAAAAATTTCCTGGGCACATTGTGAGTAACTTCTCCCCACACCCCCCCATCCCTCCCCCATTTTTCCCCACTTCTCCCCACTCGCCATCCAACGTAAGCTCTCTGAGACACCATCCTACATGAAGAATGCTATATTAATGCAAGTTGATTTGACTTAAGTTTTTCCACAGTCAATAGCAGCCCATCTGTTATTTGCCCAGCAATATTTACAAGTTTACATTTATACAGCGCCGTTCACATCGGGAGGACATCCCAAGCCATTGCGTAGGCTGGGTTTGCACCCGAGCTGGGACGGGGCTGGGAGATGGGGTGGGGAAAGACGACCGAAAGCACCGTCAAAGAGGAAGTCCTTGAGGCGGACCTTGAAGGAGGCGAGGGAAGGGGCGAGTTGAAGGGTTTCCATCCACATGTGACATATATGTGAAACATTAAAATAATAATAATAATAATCCTCACATCTGATATAACACCGTATCACATCTATCAGACATCCAAGCGCTTCACAGAATATACTGTAAAGTGGATTGACTGTGTATTTGTGGGCGAAACGCAGCAGCCGTTCGCGCACAGCCAAGTCCCTACACGCAATCATGAATTAAGCACCGTTTCTTTTTTTTGGAGGGATTATTACCCCTGGAAAGCGATCCGCTAATCAACAACAACAACAAGATTCCATTTATAGAGCGCCTTTCACGTCGGGAGGACGTCCCAAGGCGCTGGACAGTTGGGTCAGGACCCGAGCATTAGGGGAGGGAGCGACTGACAACCGGGTTCCTACTTACTGACGGGTAAACTGGAGTCAATCCTCCGAACCAAATCCGGAATTAAGATTTTTTTTTGATCGCGGAACAGATTAAAAATGGTCCTCAAATGAAGTTAACGCCACAGGCGGCAGAAGACATGTGTGATCATACTGCCGCCTCGTGGCCTCACAGCGAACCTGCAGTTATAAACCTTTACCTGTATTTTCTCTCCCCCTCTTCACCGGTTTATTTATCAAACTTGACAGTATATTCTGTGAAGCGCTCTGAGACGTCGCCACGATTTGATAAAGGCACTGGATCCAATGCAAGGAATGTTATTATTTGTGGAGTCCTGTAGCTCAGTGGTTAGAGCACTCGCTTTGCAAGCGAGAGACCTGAGCTCAATTCCAGGCAGAGGGCGAAACCTTGGGCAAGTTTCCTTACTCCACACAGAGCCTAATAATAATCCCTCCAAAACCAAAAACAACAATNAAAAAATTGGTCATTTTCAATCTACGACTATTTGTGGGACATTGCTGTGCGCAATCGGCTGCCGCGTTCGCCCACAAATATACAGTCAATTCACTTTACAGTGTGTTTTGTGAAGCGCTTTGGGACGTCCTCCCGACGTGAAAAGCGCTATATCAAATGCAAGGATTATTATTATTATAATAACCCAACACCGAGGATGGAACGCGGGCATTTCTGTGGCGAAACACTTTTTAAAATTAAAAAAAAAGTGTATGGAGTTACCCGTTTTCTTGTGGATCTCTGGAGTCTTCTTTTCGCGCTCTTTCTTCTCAAACGCTTTCTTCACGTCAGACACCTTGATGGTCTGGTTGCTGTCCGGCTTCCCCGGTGTCTGGGTGGCTGGACAATGTTCCTCAGACAGTCCCGCAAATGCAGGGGTCAGTTTGCGCTCCGCGGCCACGGGCAAAATCTGCTGCGTTCTGGCCCTTGCTTGGCAGATTACCTCTCTCCCCTGCCTGGCGGGCACACCGAGCTCCTCAGCTCTTCCCCTCGACTTGGTGGGTCTGGGCTTGCCAACATCTTCCCTCGACTCCAACTCCTCACTGTTGGCATCTCGCTTCCTGTACTCGGATGATCCGCTCAGTTCATTGTGTGCAGGTCCGCCTGCCAGCGCCTGGCGTGAAGCTTTGCTCGTGTCACAGTCTTCAGATGGTCTGCTCCGCTTGCTGGGTGGGACTCGGCCAGATTTCATGTCGCGGCCACTGTGCTGCGTGTGTTGATCGGAATCAGATCGATCGTTTTCCACGCCTGTTGGCCAAACCTCTCGCTCCTGTGCAGAGCGCCCTGTGTGGCCGGACTCCTTGCCCTGCACTCGCTCCATGCTGTGCTGAGCCACATCGCCCGATC